CTCATGAATGGTCTTAAGGCGTGATATGCCCATTATATTCAAAAGGTGACCAGCTCCAGTGTGACAACTATAGAGGTATAACCCTGTTAACAACTGCTTACAAAATACTAGCAAATATTCTCTATGAAGGGCTGCAAGTTTACACAGTGGGCATAGTTGGTAAATATCATGCTGGATTCAGTCCAGAAAAATCAACAATTGACCAGATTTATTCAATAAGACAGATTTTTGAGAAAGCATTAGAATTCAATATTGAAACCCATTACCAATTCGTCGACTTTGAGGCCGCATACGACAGTGTCAGGAGAACAGTGCTATATCAATCAATGCATGAGTTTGGTATACCAGAGAAACTTATCCGGTTAACGCGAATGTCAATGTATACCATACAAGCCACTGTTAAAATACAGGGAGAGAATTCTAGATCCTTTGAGATAAAAGATGGACTCAGACAAGGGGATGCTCTGGCTTGCCTCCTATTTAATATTGTCTTAGAAAAGGCAGTCCGAGATACACGAATTAGGGATGGCGGTACTATTTACAATACATCGATACAAGTCTTAGCATATGCTGATGACATTGACATAATAGGGCGTAGCAAGCGAGATGTTAAGCAATATCTCCTAGAATTGGAAACAGCGGCGAAAAAGGTCGACCTAGTCATTAACGAAGACAAAACCAAGTACATGTTGGTTACAAAGGATCCCATAGCAAATTAGGAACAAGAAACAGTCTTTGGAAGTCACACCTTTGGACATGTTGACAATTTCACATACTTTGGGTCGCTATTGACTACTACCAACAAAACAAGCGAAGAAATCAAAATACGAATAAATCTTACAAATAGGGCATACTATGGACTCCAAAAGCACTTCCACTCAAGAAGCATTCAAAGAAGAACTAAAATCATTATATACAAAACACTGCTAAGGCCGGTCCTCACATATGGAGCACAAACATGGACTCTAACGCAGAAAGATAAGACACTTTTGGGAATATTTGAGCAATACTCCGCAAAATATTTGGAGCTATACACGACCAAGGGCAGTGGCGCAGAAGATATAATTTTGAATTGCATCAGTTCTTTGATGAGCCAGATGTCATAACGTTCATTAAAACACAGCGACTTAGATGGGCTGGACACATAATACGAATGCCAGAAAATACGATTGCTAATAAGCTAATCACAGGAACACCTGTAGAAAGAAGAAGCAAAAGCCGACCGTGAATTAGGTGGTTAGATGGAGTTGAAACCGACTTACGGATATTAAAAATCAGAAGATGGCAACATGTTCCCTGAAACCGAACAGAATGGCGACGAATGTTAGAGCAGGCCAAGATCCACAAGAGGATTGTCGAGCCAAACATGATGATGATGATAATATGAGTTATTACAATAGTTTACTTTATAGATGGAAAATTACATCTGGTTACTGATAAGTACGTTATTTTGGGCGTTGGTAGTGAAACACAGCTTATTTGTTAATCTAAATACGAATTAATATTATTCCTTTAAAAGGGAAGAAGAGAAAGTTAGAATATCTAGGATACATAATGAGAAACGGCACTAAATCCAGATTACGGAAAATATTCCTTTAAGGCAAAGTATTCGAAAAGCGAGGAATTGGGAGAAGAAGAATATCATGATTCAAAAACCTGAGGAAATGGTTCTCCACAACAACAGCTAATATATTTAAAGCATCAGGTAATAAAATAATTATAGCCAGAATGATCGACAATATTTGAAACGAATAGGCACCAAAATAAGAAAAAAAATGATCTTCTTAAATAAACTTTAAAATTAGTCATTAGATCTGAATGCGGTGCTGTTTCAAAACTTCAACAAGGCGATTGGTATAAACACAAAGCCAGTGTAAAACAAAAAAGATTAGAAATTCTTATTTGTATCTAAAATATTCGTAAATTTGTTTATCGTTGTCACTACTAATATTTTTTGATGTAATATAATTTGACTTACAGAGCCTTTGATATAACTCCTTCTCAGAAACTTCACCAACCTATTCTTGCAATTTTTAAACTCGAAAAACACTTAAAGTAAGAGCCAATATTTTCTTACTAGGCTGGTTAACTAACTAGGCCAAGAATGAAATAAATTTATTGTTCTGTTGTTATTTTTACTTCTAAATATTGACTCTTTTGTAGATTTACTTGCAATTTATTTTAATACTACAGTTGCTTTATAAAACATAAATACTTACTTGGAAACTAAGTGAACAGTATCCTGTCTGAAGGTACATGCAAACAAAGAGTATGGTGATAAATTTTGTTGCCATTTTTAATAGTCTGAAAAATAAATCAGGTGTTATGTTATAATAAAAGATCAAAATCCAAAAAGTTTGAACGTTTAAGTACCAATATTTTTCAAAAAATTTAAACCTATTGGGAATACCAATTTATTGCAATATCAACATAAACGTAAATTAATATATTATAATAATATATTATAATATGTTTGAGACCAAAAGAGGCTCAAAAACTGGTCTTCTATTTCCACTACAGTGAAAAAATATGGGGCATGGTATTTCACAGTGATATTATGCCACGGAAAACAGGAAAATTGGAAGTTGTTTAACACGTTCGCGACAACGCACAATTCCGAGAGTTTACCTCTCAGCTGTCATTTTTTTTTATATATATTTTAACTAACAATCTGTAATTTTACCAATATCAATATATTTTTCATATCGACGGTCTCATTCTAATAAACCGTAAGTGAGTTAACCGTAAGTTTACAGGAGAAACATTTTTCTGTTTCTACAGGTTAATACAGGTCCAAATTCAAAATAATTTTTAATTTAACTTATTTGTGTTGTCCTGAAGGTCAACCATGCTTTGTTGTTAATTTTTTTTTATATATTTATTATTATACAGCAGATACAGGCTATTGAAAGTGATTAGGTACAAAAAAAATGAGATACAGGCTATTGCACTGATCAATAATTGAAATTGATTAAATGGGTAGTATTATGAACTTACTGAAATGATAGATGTTTGATAATGGGGTTGAAACTGATAAATAAACTAACAAATAAATAAACAATGTTTTTAATTATTGATAAAAAATAATAATAATATTAAGATAAAAATACCACAGTGAAACTATAGGTACTGAGTAAAAGAAAACATTGCAACCGGTTAAATAAAAAATTAATATCTAATAATACAGGAGGTAAAACAGACTTCATTTCTTGCAAATGTTGCCACTTTTTTTGTTTGAAGCGAAGTCGATCTGTATTTAGTGAGTCATAGATAAAACTATTGGGCTACTTTGGAGATCTGGCTGGTAGTGGTTGTAGTTCATGGCTAAAATCAATCTTATATTGAATATTTTTTTCGTGGTGGTCATATTTTAAGTGCTCAAATCATTAGATTTCTTGCCTGGACGAATGCTCTTTTAAATCCATGATTTTAAGAAATCCTTGAAAAACTCATGAGTTAAAAAGAGAGCTTCTAAGAGCATTGGGGTTTTCCTTGCTTCTTTTGTGAGTTCAATCTTCGTTCTATCACGGAGTGGACAGAGTTACACTCCATTTGAGTGTGCCCTTTTTCTAAATATTTTTGCTCTATCGTGACACCTTTCTAAATTGAATAATTTGGCAAGGCGTTAGACAGCACACAATTCCTATTTTGGTAACATCATCCATCAGAATATAAAACTATCGGTATGTCTTTGACGCACTACTCTTAAATAAAGTTTAATATAAAAGTTGTAAAGCTGGAAGCAGATAAATCACCTTCTGACTCATCCCACCAGTAATTTGTACATTCGCGCGATGCCAAATTATAATTTGTAAAATTATGAACAGTTAGTGTTGTTTTGTAATAAAGCTAATTTGCGTTAATAACTAAACATATTTTAACTGCTTGCATGTCTATGCAAACAGCGTAGATAGAACCTTGAATGGCTAGTTGCTTGTCTGCGTCTTTTTCTTTTCTTGCTTCATTTTTTCTTAAGATATCGCATCGATCTTTACGTGGTTTGTACAGTGAGATATTCATGTCAGAAAAAATGTTATCAATTAATGTATTGCTGACTATTAAATTAACTTTCATGTTATCTTCGCAATATTTTCTATACTCTCGATATATATCCTGTTTGGTCTGAAAGAACTGCTCCCAATACAACTTTGAGGTTTATTGTCTACAATAGTCTGAAGGCACCTTGGCTAAGTTGTTAAAAAATTCAATTAAATTTTCTCGGTTTATTTTGTTACTATTTGAAATGCATCTTTGGCTAACGGTAGACGAGAATGAATTAAACCCGTGTTCCATTCCTTTTAATGAATCGTGTACCATATCTTCTTTGAGACCAAGTGTGCTCAAATACATCTTTTTGCATGCTCTGAATTTGACATTGTCGTTATTCCTTAAACAGTAGCAATAAGTGCCTTGTCTTCCAGATCCTTGTGATAATTCTCTTTGCGGTCTAATATTTCTACTTTAACGTCATCAGTACTACATCTTTGATAGCCGATGTATTGTTCGCCGCACATTCTTTTATTTTTTGTCACACTTCTTTTCCAATTTCCTGGGTTGAACCCTTTTTTTCTGTTTTTATTAAATATTTCTGACTTCTGATTTCTGACAAAAATCATCTTAAAACATGTAAAACCAATTAATCCATATGACTATTATGGGTATGTATGAAAAGATGTGTTTCTGTCTAGTTCACTATCATTTTGTAGATTGCAGTTAATGTTATAATTTATAGATAAAACATCTTGTTCATTACTTTCTAAAGTTTCAGTGGTTATAGTCATCATAACTAAATTTTTTTCACGTGATATGCTTTGATTCTGAAAATAAAAAAAACAGCGTATAAATAACCTGTAACACACAATTATTTATAAAGGGGTATAAGTAATAACCTGTTTCATCTTTAATTGAAGAAATGTTATATTTTCTTATTAACATTAAATAATTTCTTGGTGCTTTTGCATTAAATCACCTTTAAAAACAAACAAAAAGCAGTTACTTACCATAAATGATGCCATCGTCAAGAAAAAATCACGTTTTTACACCAATTTGACCCTAACCTAACAACATGCATAAGAAAATAATAGGATACGGGTTATTACACGGCGCCAAATGGTTGTAGTAGATACAGCATATTAGAAACATGAGATTCGAAGACCGTGCAATTTTATTTCAGATTCGGGATTTTCTTAACAGATAGAACATTCCTTCTTTATCATTATGGCGCGAAAACCTAAAATTTGATTTTTTTGTAGATACGAGGTATTAGAATGGGACCGTCGATATGTTCAAAACTATATTTTTCTATTTAAAAGCTATTTTTTGTATGTACCACCCGTGGTACACGCCGGCTGTAGTGAACATTCTTCAAGAAAAAACGCCACCGGTGGACACAATGTGAAGTCATGGTTGTCGTAGTATTTTGTTGCATTTGTAATGGTTTTTTGCCTGTTTAGGTTACTGTTAAAGGTTAAACATGTAACCTAAACATATACGCAGGTAAAAGTGGTTCAAATATATCTGACAATAATTTTGGACATTCCTACAATATTTGAATGGGACTACTTGGGGGGCTTTTGTATGAAGGAAGAACACTATAATATATTCATAATTATTATACTGGTGTAAATTTATGTAAAAAGCTTCTTCAGTGTAAAACATATGTTTGCGGAGCTCTTAGATCTAACAAAAAAAATTAAGAAAGGGCAAATATATGGAAAACAAAATGATGAGGCCATAAGAGTTGTCGAATGGATGGACAAATGTCCTGTATTATTGATTAGTACAGTTCCCAGTATAAGCAATAATCAGCTGAGGTTATTGCGTATATTAAGTCAAAGAAAGTTGTGGACTTATCCGATCAAATGTCTTCATATTATAACTCCGAGAAAAAGCATTAAGTGGTACAAGAAAGTGTTTTTCGAAATTTGTCGCATGCGTAGTAAATACGTGGTGAGTTCTTTTTAATAATTATGGTAATAATCCAAAAGCATGCAATATGTTTTCTATTCGGGAAAAAAATATGGAAGGACTATTACAAAGTAAAGTTACAGAAAGTCCTGGTGAACCAGATATTATTCCAAAGAAAAAAACCAAAATTATCTTTGGTAAGACATAATATACAAAAATATGAAGGTAGTGCTAGACAAACAAGGAAACGGTGCTTTTCATGTTATAAGAAAATTCAAGATATACAAGGATCAAAAGCAACCCGAACAAAAACAAAAAGACTGTGTACATACTGCGATACATGTGAGGATAGACCAACTATGTGCCTTCTTTGCTTTAATGAAATTCACAAACCCACCTAGTTTTGTACATTATTTAAATTATGTCTTAAGTTTTATACAATATCTATGTTATAATACGATGTTTTAATTTTAATAAACCATTATTACTTAATTTTACTTAATTTTTGGGCCTTTACTGTGACCGAATAAATTATGATATACTAAAACAGCGGCAAATCCTTATATTTAAAACTATACTTTAAGTGTGTACGCAATATAAACAAGATATCTATTAACTGTAGGGTTTTAGAGAATTAAGAAATAGAAAGGTACCGTGTACCACCAGTGGTCACAAGCGGCTGAATGAAAAGTTAGGCATGTACCAGCGGTGGTTCACGTCGCCGCGAACGTATTAAAACAGATAAGAAGCGAATAAATGAAATACAACAGCAGGTCACTTTACTATAATTTGCTTTTCTTTTTTTAAGTAGAAATGACTCTGTCTATTTTTAAGTGTGCCTCGAGTAAGTTCTCGTTCCGTGGTTTACGTGGTCTTTCTGCTGACTTCTTCTTCTTCTTCAAGTGCCCTGTCCGTTGCGAACGTTGGCTATTAACATGGCAATTTTGATCTTGTTTGCGGCGCTTCTGAATAGTTCGACCGATGTGAGCCCGAACCACTTCCGCAGATTTTGGAGCCACGAGTGTCTTCTCCTGCCTGGCTCTCGCTTACTGTCTATTTTTCCCTGGACAACCAATTGTAGCAGACGGTACTTATCGTGTCTCAATATGTGGCCTAGATATTCAAGCTTTCTTTGTTTAATTGTATTCACGATTTCTTTCTCCTTTCCGATTCTTTGGAGTACCTCTATGTTGGTGACATGTTCGGTCCAGGATATACGAAGAATGCGTCGGTACACCCACATTTCGAATGCTTCTAGTTTTCTCGTTAGCGTCTCCGTTAGCGTCCAGGCCTCCACGCCATACAGCAAGATCGGAAAAATGTAGCATTTAACTATACGTAGTTTTAGGGGAAGAGACAAATCCTTGCTTATGAGGAGCTTTTTCATATTGCTAAATGCTGCTCTAGCTCGTTCTATTCTCGCCTTAATTTCTATGGTCTGTTCCCATTTTGCATTTACGTTGGTGCCAAGGTACACATAAGATTCTACATGGTCAATTAATATGTTACATATCCGTAATGGTCGAGCAGGTTGTTGCTTTTTGCTTATCAGCATCCACTTTCTGCTGACAGTCTTCCTATTGGGAAACCGTCTCTTGTCGTCTTTACTAGTTTATTTGATGTCATATAATCGATATAATCCTTTCATTCTACTCTTATATTTCTTACCCAGTACTTTGACATTTTATTAAATAAATAATTTTTCAGCAAACCAGTTGAACAAACAACGACAGTTATAAGCACTTAAAAAATACAGATAGATAAAGTGCTAGAACAGATGATATTCCTGTAGACGTCTAGACAAGTTTTAGAAGCGACAGAAATAACTGGATAACAAGTTTGTATAATGAAATATGAAATTGGGATAAATGCCAAAGAAAGAAGAAAAGCAGTTTTTTAGTACCTGTCGGCAAAAGCAAGGGGGATATACATTCCAATGGCCGTACCACAGCCACCTTTACTTCCAAGCCATGACGTAGAAATTTGGCAACAACGCGTAGTAGTCCGACCGTGGTTTGTTTTGTTTAACATTTCATACATATAGGAAAGCTTGTAAAGTTTGTTGAATTTAGTGTTTTTTTAACTTTATTCGAATGTTTTATTTGTAAATTGTGTTTAAATCAATTAGAAAATATTAATATAAGTGAAATTTCATTAAGTTTAGAACTTTTAGAAGATTCTTAACGACAATTTAAAAGGCAAGTATAAATATAACCTACAAAACAAACTGAAAATAATAATACTTTTGCTTCTTGTTACAAAATATCTAAACTAAAAACAACAATAATAATACTTTTGTTTTTTGTTACAGATGCCCTGGCATTGTTGTGTACCTGGTTGCAAAACCAATTATGCCAGTACTTTAAAAACAAAACCGTCAGAAAATACGTTTTCGTTTCCCAAATATCCCCAAAGAAGGTATACTGGGTTATGCTCTATTCATAGAGGAGGCTATACAATTACCAAATCTTCCTTAGTATGTGCCAAACATTTTCATGAAGATGATATTCAGCGGACTGAACAATGAGAAGATAAAGATGGAAATGTACACATTGAAAAGTTAATATTTCCCAAATTAAAAGACAGTGCAGTTCCTAATATATTTTCTGAAGTAGCATAAGTAGCAGACAAACGCAGTAGAGGAAGACCACCTACACGTTGGACCGACGACATCAGGCGTATAACTAAAAATTGGCAACAAAGAGCACAAAATCGTGAGGAATGGAGGAGTTTAAGGGAGGCCTATGTCCAGCAGTGGACGTGACAAATAGAGGCTGGATGATGATGATGATGATGATGATGACCATAATATGTAACTGTTCATCATACAAAAGATAATAGAGATAACAGAATCCTTAGACAATGATTTAATAGATTCATTTGAATCACTTTTAAGAGACTTAGACAATAATATCCCATTGAAAAACTGGACAAGTAAAATTACAAGTGACTGTATATTTCTATGTATTAAACATTAATCAGTTGGGACACGAGTGTGATAATATTTGTGTAATAAGTAGTGTAATAGTTACCAGTAATTTTAGTGTAATCGTCAATGTAGGTAAGAATAGATTAAGTAGTAATGATTTGAAATGGATTTTACAATATAGTAAATTAACAGGATGGTCACAATTAGAGAACTTATCTTCTCGATATAAATCTGCTTTTTAGATAAGTGCTAACAAATTTGATTTCATTACATTCAAAAATCTTTTAAGAATATAGGCTATTTTAAATATATATATATATATATATATATAAGTTATAAATGGTATGTTACATTCAACACATTTTTCATGTATAGGTACCTCTTTTAACTTGGTCTATATGACAAAAAATCTATTCATATATAAAATTGCTACTTTCGTATACCTAAGTATGAAAATTCAACAAAAGTTATAAGTAAATAGTAAAATATTTAATTTTAATTTAGATTAATTTAGAACCATATTTATATTGTGTCTGATTTCTTAGGATGAATTTTTTAATCATAATAGTTACACTAAGTTTTTACTTAACAAATTTTATATCTTGTGTATTTTTAATAATCTTTTAAATGTAGTGTTAATGTATTGTGTTATTTATATGCTTAAGTACTTAATATTTAAAATTTCTAGAGATTCTTGACTGCATTTGATTGTAAGATTAACTGTTTGACACTGTATTGTAAGTGCAATAAATTTTTACTCTATTGATTATTTTATTGATAATATAACCTTAATAATAATAAAACTTGATATATATTTATTAGGTATATATAAGGTTTTTATTAATTTAATTTCGCTAAAAATATTTCTATAATGAATTGAAGTTTTCAAAATATCAGTTTCCTAAAATTCAAATTAGTTTAATTTTCTGGTAGATATGTGGTAGACCTTACAGCTGATTATCGGACTACCGACGTCATAGAATGCGGTGTTGCCTTTTTTACTTCATGGCTTGGAAGTAAAGGTGGCTGTGGCCGTACAGCCCAAATTTAACCTTGGCTTTCGTCACACTATGCCTTGACGTTCCCGCTGCGATCTTGTTTAGGTTCGTACGTTTAGCAAATTTCCGTGGTCTTCTTATTGGTATTGCGCCCTGCGTTTCACAATCCAAGGCTCTTTTT